GCTGGCTCAGTGGGTAAAGGCACTTGGTGCATATATTGCTCTGACAGTCTAAGTTCAAACTCCAGATCGCACATAAGGGTGGAAGGAGAGAGCTGATCCCGCAAAGTCATCTGACTTTCACATGTGTGCCATGGCACAATTGTGCCAGCAGTCACGTGACATCGTGCACACATACACACAGTAGTAATAATTGCCTCACAGAACAAGGAAGGGAGCTGTAGACCCTGTTCAGAAAGCATGAGAGACACTGAGTCAGGCACAGGGTGACTTCCTAATGCTAATCTGCCTCTGTTGAAACTTCCCAGCAGACCAGCAGCTCAGCAGAGCTGACTGAATGTCGAGGCCAGTGTTTGGAGATACTGCTGAATATTACTGGCATGCAGTGGGCAGAGGGCAGTGCTCAGGACCCCTGCTGACAACAACCTGGCCTCAAATGTCCACAGTACTAAGACTAAAAAACCGAGGGTAGAGACAGCATCTCTGTGGCTGAACCAGATGTGGCTTTTCCTCATAGGGAGGGGGCACTAGTGATCTGGATAGGTTGCCAGTGTCAGCTAAAGGTGACACCAGGCAGGGCCTCTGAGTGGCCAGCTCACTTGGAGGAAGTCTGGCCTCAAAAATATTTTTGGCTCTTTGTAGAAATGGCTTACTAATCTTCACTCAAAAACCTTGGAGTCAGTCAGGCCCACGTGTGGCATAAATGGCTTCACCTGAAACGGTGCAGTCTACAGCCTGTCTGACTGGAACTTCAGCCCCATCTGAGAACTGACTACAGGGAAGAAGGGGAAGCAGAAGCTGTGAAATGTCAATGCCTCACAGGAGGTTCTTTTCCTGCTGAAGTCAACAGTGTGAGATTTGGGAGGCGCTGAGCAGAGGGGTGAGTCTAAATTTAGGCTTTCCAAAGACAATTTGTACACCAGAGTCCCGGGAATTCCAGAAAGGGACAGGTGGTACATAGCACCTCACCTCTGGTCTGGCCCAATCTGCTAAAAAATCTACCTAGTGGGAGAATACTTCACTGGAGTTCTGGGAAGCTGTCTGCAAGAAACCGGGCAAAAGCTGGGGTCCCACTGTTGGGAGGCCTGGGATAGAGGTTTTTATTTCTGTGTTTATTGTGTGGTGTTTGTTGTGAACTGTGGGAGCCCATGCTGCCCTTGGGGGAGCTACTGCATTCTCTTGCTGCCTGTCATCTGAGCGCAGCTGAATAGGTTGACCTTTCTGTGTTGTACAGTGAATGCCAAGTCCTTGGTTTGAAATCATATCTGGACTTGTGAGAAGCTCTGAGCTACCACATCCTCATAGGGATGACCAGTCTTTGCAGCTGTGGTGGAGTAGTCCACCACAAAGCAACACATCTAAGTGCTGTCTGCCCCTCTCTGGGGGTGAATAGCCCTGCTTCTTGGCCTATTATGCCAGAAGCAACAAGAGTGGATGCTTCATAGCAAACTGCCAATGGAAAATATCATGGGGTTTGCCATTAGATATTACAGAGGAACTAGAGGAAGAAACATAAAGAATGAAGCAGTTTAGGAAGAGATGAGTGACAGGAAACTCAGGCGGGACTACTTGGATGAAGGCCATCTGCATACGGTGTTGAAATTCCAAGAGGCAATATTAGAGTGGCAGATGATACTGAGAGGGTCAAAGTTCACATGCAGGACTATGGACTTGTCTGCATGGTTGGGTCTCATGGTAAGAAGAGCTGACTGAGCACTTTGCACTCGCATGCACACAGGGAGAAGTGGTCCACTATCCAGGCAATGTGCTGAAAAATCTGAAAGGCACAGTCAAAGAAGCCAGGGGAGAATTCAAAAGGGTCTATTTATATACCCAGGAGGGGAAACAACGTTTCCGGAATGGCGCCTTCCCTGGGAGACATGTTTCCTATGTGCTTTAGCTTTAGTGTCTTGGGAAGAACACAGGGAAAGAAACAGGACACACAAGGAAGGAAGTCAGTCCCTCCCTCGCAGTAAGGGACAGGAAGAGAAACGAATTTAAAAATAAATGAAGCCCTTCTTAATTATTCACAGATTATCTGCATTGCAGCCCTGATTGCCAACAAGTTCTCCTTTGAGCTGTTTGTGAAGTCGGAGGGCCCCTTCCAATCTGTTTACCACCCAGTGGCAGCTGGAAAGGGGAGGAGGCTTGGGCATCTCTCCTGGTAGAAAGACGTGTGTGATTAGCTCCCTCTGCAGTACCCCTGGGGACCGACTGAGGCCCATTGATAGGACTGCAGGAAGCTCCAGCTCAGGTGGTATCATCTGACTTGGCTGCTGGAGTTGGAATAGAACCAAGACTCCCCCCCCCCTCACACACACACACACACACACACACACACACTCTCTCTCTCTCTCTCTCTCACTCACTTTGTTTGTGTGTGTGTGTGTGTGTAGGGTGGTCCCTGAGTTAAGTGTCTAGGAGGACTTTACTACACACAGACTGTGACATTGTGTGTGGCTAAGTGGCTGAGGCACCTGCATACCAATGAAGGACATTCCTTTAGCCAAGGGTTAGTCTCTGTGCTGGCACTACTGAGCCAATGAACTCAAAGTCTCAGGCATTCACCTGAGAAGGTGAGAACTTGGATCAGAAGCAGCCTCAGAGGGCATGCTCTTGGCATTTGGAGACAGGTGTCAGTCACTAATGGAGTTGTTCAGTAGAATACTTAGAAGCCTGGCCCTACTCATTAAAGTTGACTCCTAGTCACATGAGCTAAGAAGGACAGTACTGTCTGTAACTAAGGACAATGGGACTTGTCTACTCAGACTGTTTGCAAGTCTGAAGTTTTGTTAAATCTATGTTTGTTTTGCCTTTGGGCCCAATGAACGCTTCAGAGGGGAATGGTTGTAAATTTGACAGGCTGTCAGAAGAGTCCGTCTGCTGACATCTGTAGAACTAAGCACTTAATATATTCCAGAGCCTTGGCCAATTTCCTTGTTGAAAAGCCCCCAGAGGGCACAGGGCAGGCAGTAGTGGCACAACCAAGGAGATGGCTCCTTCCATAATGTTCTTGCCACACAAGCATAAGAACGTGTGTTCAGCTCTCCAGCACCCATATAAAAGCCTGTAACCCCAGAGCTGGGGGAACAGAGACAGTGTTCTTGTGGCTTACTGGCTAGCCACTCTAACCAAAGCAGGGAGGTCCAGGATCAATAAGAGGCCATGTCTCAGGGAATAAGGTGGGGACGTTATTGAAGACAGCACCTGGGTTCAACTTCTGGCCCCCACATGCACAGATGTGTGCTCACATGTTCAGCCTTCAATGGGGATCTGATTATTCGCTAGTCTGATCATCTGCATCACACACACACACACACACACACACACACACACACACACACACACACACGAGCTATAATTTCAGAGTATCAACTTCATGGTTGTTTTGCTTCATTTATTTGTATAGTCTTGCAGAGTTCAGATGGGAAATTTTACTCATGGGGTCCTGCACTGTGTTAGAGATAGATGACATGGGAATTAAGAATTAAGGAGACTGGCTAGATTAACCTCTACACTAGATACAAAGTTCTATTTTGTGTGCCTATGAACTTTGTATACTTGGGAACCATGTCACACTCTTGAAGTCACTATGTTGCCTTACTTCCTGAGTTCTGAGTTGACCTGGCTAGGGTGTATAAGGTTTCTTCTTACCACCTAATATTCTATACCTGCGATTTGAATTCATAACCATCAGAGGGGAGCCATCAAGTGCAGATGTGGCCAACTGCTTTAAACAGTTAGGTCCTTAGTGTTCCTGTCATAAAGATCAGCCAGCCCTGATATAGCATTGGCTTTGGGGCAGACAGCCCTTTTTCTGTGTGTGGCAAGAAGGTTTTCTTATAGCCCTTCCTGTATCTGTGTTTCTGCCACCTATGTGTAAAGGAAAGAATACAAATGCTATTAAATCTCAATCCAAGGAGAAATTTATCTTAAAACTCTTGAAATATCCAAAGGCATTTGCAAAATAAGGAAGGGACTCTCGTGGGAAAATAAGATTTAGCCCTCATCTAAAATAAGATTGAGCCCTCATCTTCGTCGAATCTCAGCCTTCCCAGCTAGTGCTCGCTGATGCGTGTATGTCTGGAAAGCATAACAGATGAATCTTGCAAAGGTCAAAAGGGATGACACCCCCCACCCCGTCTGCACATGTTAGCCCTGGGGAAACAGGCACTGACTGACATAAAAGCTCTCCATCTGAAGGGCTTATCAAATCAACCCGTCCTTTCTGCCAGGGCTCTGCTGCACACAGCATGAGGGTGGCTGAGCAGGCGAGGCTGGAATCCCCTGAGCAAGCAGCGATTCAGCTGGCTGGACAGATCAAGTAACACTTGGGCTAGTTAACAAAAGACGCCAGTGGGAAGGTGTTGGAAACCAGAATGTGGAAATTTACCCAACATTGTTTCTTTGACAGGAAAGGGGACTCTGTCTGAAAGATACTGCATTCCTGCGGCCCTACAGCATCCAGTGGAGCAGTCTCAGTCAAGGTGGCCTGGATGATTGGGTGAAAGAGGATATGCCCCCATCTGAAGCCTCTGGAGGGTCCTGGCCCAGCCTTGGGACAGCAGGTGTAACTGCAGAGCTTGTGAGCGAGCTTGGCTCTTTCTAGATCTTCACTCCCAAGACTGGTTGGGGTTTGGGTCTCTAAAGGGAACTTGTCGAAAGATAAGCTGGAAGAAATGAAAAAAAAAGCCCCTAGAAGCTTCTAGAAACCATTAACTGGATCCCCTCTTACTGCTCAGAGCCCAGAAGGAGGCTGTGATCCGATTAAGCTTTGGACCCACTTAAGAAAAGCAACACAGCTCAGCAAGCAGCTCTGCACTTGAGCCAGACAGGAGGATTCAAAGGAGAGAGTTGCTGCATATTTTACTCTGAGATCCGTGAAGATAGAAGATAAGGACACTGGCTTTCCCTTTTAATCATGCCAGATCTGGAAGAAGCATGAATCATTTTAAGCATCTAGGAGGGTTCTTGAAGTATGGGAGTTGGTTGCCAACCCTCCCGGTGCACGTAAGCAACATTGCAGCATCCAGCACTTCAGTGAGCAAGGACTTGCAGCCCTCCCTGTCCCCTGGCAGCAGTGACCTCACCAGGAGCAAAAGCACCTCTCAGTTGTGAGAGCTGACAGAATGAGGTGTGTGGGGGAAGCCATTAGCTGGAACTTGTCCTTTCCTGACTGCCTCTGCATCCCCCAGCCAGCCCCAGACCACTGAGTCAACGATGGCAGAGAAAGGTGACTGCATCGCCAGTGTCTACGGGTATGACCTTGGTGGGCGCTTCATTGACTTCCAACCCTTAGGCTTTGGGGTCAATGGGCTGGTGCTGTCGGCTATGGACAGCAGGGCTTGCCGGAAGGTAGCTGTGAAGAAGATTGCTCTGAGTGATGCCCGAAGCATGAAGCATGCCCTCCGAGAAATCAAAATCATCCGGCGCCTGGACCATGACAATATTGTCAAGGTGTATGAGGTACTAGGACCCAAGGGTAGCGATCTGCAGGGCGAGCTCTTCAAGTTCAGTGTGGCCTACATTGTCCAAGAGTACATGGAGACTGACCTGGCACGCTTGCTGGAGCAGGGCACACTGACCGAGGAGCATGCCAAGCTGTTCATGTACCAGCTGCTCCGTGGGCTCAAGTACATCCACTCTGCTAATGTGTTGCATAGGGACCTGAAGCCCGCCAACATTTTTATCAGCACTGAGGACCTCGTGCTCAAGATTGGGGATTTCGGTTTGGCAAGAATCGTGGATCAGCATTACTCACATAAGGTATGTCTGCCCAGAGAGGCTGCTGCTGCTGACCTGTGGGATCCTCAAGGATGCACACAGTGTTCCAGAGGGTTTGTCTTTCTCCATTGTAATCAGGAGGTTGGTGTTAGTTAGGGGTAGGCCGAAGGTGCAAGAAAAATACATGGCTTGAAAAGTTGGTGGGATGGAGGGATCTAGTCATGTCTGTAGCCAGTAACTATGGGCTGTACAAGTGAAAGGTCAGACTAGACAATATCTAAACTTTCTTTTAGCCCTGAGCTCTATGGCTTTAATATTGTGTGGTTGATGAATTTTTCTATTGTGTCCACTGATCCTGTATGTCGGCATCACCATCTCTCCTTCCTGTACTGGCTGCTCAGGAGACGGCAGCAGGCTCTCCTTGCTAAGAGCATTATGGTCTTGTTTGTCTCACCTGTTCCTCTCACCAGGGCTGGCCTATTCCATCCGTCAGTGAAGAGAAAGCAATCTGGGGACAGTCTAACTTGATAAACTAATGCTCGCTACAGATCAGCTAATGTCTCCCCTCTTAGGTTCTTCCCCATGGAGGGAAGTCATGCTTGAGGATGGTTCTGTTAAAATTCCTCATGGTGCATCACAGAATCATCCCAGCTGCACCGATAGTGACACGTGTCACCAGGATTTGTTTCCAAGACCCAGGCCTCCTCCTTCCCGACCTGCTGTGTCTTTGGAACAGCAAGGTCTCTTCTGCCAGACATATTGCCACTGTAGGATGCCTGAGAGTCTCATCATGAGCCTGTGCCCAGGTGCCCAGAAACAAAGCCAGTCTCCCAGCAAAATCTTTATACTTTTTTTTTTTTTTTTAAAGAATAGAACATCCCATAGGAAGCAGGTGCCCTGTGAAATGTTACTAGCCAAGGGTGTGAGTGAGCCATGGAAGATGAGGGTGGCTCTGACCTTGACCATGGTTTGGCTCTATCTGTAAGGACCTCCCTGTTCCTCTCCTCTGCTCTGCGGGAAGGCATCACAGGCAAGAGATTCCAACTCCCTGCCCACCCTCACTGGTTGGAACTTGGACTCCTGCCCCAATTTCAGACCCCACATCAGTCTCACTGCCTCTGGCTTCAATGCCACAGGTTGCTTTGCTACCTTAACCATGGGCTTGCCCTCCATAGCTGTTCCTGCAGCCTTGTCATCTATTAAGATTGATAACTGAGTCTGTAGGCAAGGAACAATATAGCCCCTTCTGTCTTCTGAATACTACAGGCTGACTGTTCCCTTTCCTCCTTCTAATCGGCCATGATGTCAAATCATTGAACCAATAGTTTCAACCCAAACTGGTTCTTTTGGGGTTAACGAAATCCAGAGAATCTGCAATATTTCAATCTGGCAGGCACAAAACCTTCTCTTTTAAATTTTTATTTTTATGTGTATGGGTGTTTGTGTGCATATACATCTGTGTACCATGTGTGTGACTGGTGTCTGAGGAGGCCATAAGAGAGCATCAGATCCCCTGGAACTGGAGTTAACAGATGGTTGTAAGCTGCTGTGTGGGTGCTGAGACTTGAACCCAGGTCCTCTGAAACTGAGCTATTTCTTCTCCAACCCCCAACAACCCTCTTAATTACAATAGACTGGTACTCTTGGGAGCCATCATCTGATGAGGTGGTTTAGTGGAATGTCTCAAGGAAGGAGTGTGGAGATGCATGTGTCACCTACAGTACAGTCAAGAAGATGGCTTCCTGGGGTGATTCGCCACACTGCAGTTTTGTTTTGTTTTGTTGAAACAGGCTCCACCTGTAGCCCAGGATGGTCTGAAGCTCAGTTCTCATGTCTTGGTCTCCTTGGTGCTGGGATTACAGGTGTGTCCTATCAATCCCAATTGTTGAAACAAGTCTTTGGATGCAGCATGGTATGAACAACCCCACAGTGTGAGGAGTTGAGATGGGCTCCCTGTTGATGGTACCAGCTCACTCACCCCTGGAGCCTCAGTTTTCCCACTTTTGATAGAGCCGAAGCACAGTGCAGGAGGCTGGGGCTGGAGAAGGATGATGGGGCTCACATGGCTCTGCTCATCCTGTTCCTGCCACTTCTCATCTTGGGACTTTCATTCTCTCCACACAAAGGAGTTTATATGTTCTCACTTCATCTCTTTAAGGGAGAGGGAAGAGAGCGAGCGAGCACTATATGAGGTTAAAAACCATCATTGTTAACCTGATATGTGTTCACATCGACCTGGTACCCCTAGGTCTGTCGGGCGCCACCCACTGCTGCCTTTTGTCCTTATCCATTTTCTGCTTTTAGCTTGCTGCCCTCCTCTCCCTCTAGAGATGATGAAAGGCCTCATGCTCTCTGCTTTTATTTATTCAATGTGCATTTAAGTCAGTTCTCACTTAATCCTCATAATACGGTGAGGCTCTTAGGGCAAATGGTCCATTTGACTACCCAGAGAAGTGGCTTTATGAGAGCATGAGACTCCCAGGGCTGAATGGCAGGTGAGGCTCTTCCTGAAATGTGCTGGATTCTGTGTGGCAACTGCCTCTGAGTGTTCTGCTCCTTCCTCTCTTCTAGCACTGACTCTTCTCCACTCTACCTTGTGGCTGTTTCTGTCTGGGTCTGTTCTATCCCTGGCAGAGTCCCATGCTTTTTGAGGTCTGTTTCTTGTTCATAACGGAATCTTACCAATTCCTGAGATCTGGACCTCAGTTGATTTTGCTGATTGTACTGGTCAGAGGGAAGGACAGTGATCTTCTGGAACCTCATAGATAGGATATTTCATAGTTGGAAAGTCTAAAAAGGAACCCTGTACTCTTCAGATGATAGCTGGGGTCAGATGTATGCATCTGTGCTTGCCGGTGTGCCTGGAGGAGGTTGTCTGTCTACAAGCTATATGTGTAAATGGAGTACTTAATTGGTCTAAATGAGAAAAACCTGGGGTCAGATATGGAGGAAAATACTGAGATCCTATAGGAGGAGGAGCAAGTCACAGCCACCTTTACCTCATTAGTTTCCCATTGGAAAAGAGAGCGAATTCCTGTTTCTTCCCACTTATATTCTCTCTCCACTCAGCTGTCTCACTTCCTATCAGTCTATACAGACCTTCAGATCTCTATTGGTTAGCTAGTGGCAAGCTCCATCCTCTGATCTTCAGACAGGCTGTATTTGTACAAGCAAGATATCACCACACATATACTCTGTACTCTCAGCCTCTCTTGAAGAGGGCCATTACTTACCCAGACTTATCTTTTCCACCTCCTGATCCAACCCAGTGCCAGAGAGGTCCAGATAGAGTCCTCTCATCTATCTATGCATGACCCACCTAGCAGTGTGTAGCAGTCTGGTCCTCACCCTTCCATCTTTATCCTGGGTAGATAGTCTCTTTTCTTCACCCAGCATCCTTCATCTACTACAGGCCTTCCTAGGGCACGTACCTACTTTGCTGATCTAGAGGAGATGCCAAAGGAAATGGCCATCTCTTCTTTAATGAGAAACTACACTAAAAGGGTTCCAAGGCACACTGGTTTATACCATTTCTAGGGAATCTTCCCCTGGCCCAGGGTGCAGTAAAGTCTGTGCAACACAAAGGCAGGAGATGGCAGGGGCAACAGTGAAGAAAACATTCTTGGTTCTTCCTCAGCCTAAAAAACACTGGTACCGGTGTTGCTGAATTAGTGATGTTTGCATCACTGTGACCAAACTTACTGAAGCAAAATTTCATTCTGATTTAAGCTTTTAGTGGGTCTCTTTCAGTCCATCATGGTGGGATGACATGAATGGTAGAGTTCATAGCTACAGGATGGGAGGGTAGCTCCTCAACACTGTGGAGCAGGAACAAGACAGAGGTGAGCCATGAGCCAGGGGCAGTAAAACCTTTAAACACCCACACCCTGTGTTCTCTTGCCATGATAAAATACCCTGACAAAAAGAAACTTAGCAGAGGAATAGTTTTAGTTCACAACCCCGGGTCACAGGCATGCTAGCAGGGAGGTCAAGGCTGTAGTAACTTAAAACAGCTTAATAACATCCAGATTCTAAAGCAGAGGGAATGAGCCAACAGGCTCACTGGAATGTTTGTGCTCAACTTAGTGTGTGTCGACCACCCCCCACCCCACACCATTCACTCTCCCTGGGATTTATCATATTAGGAGATGATGTCAAAAGAAAAAAAAATGCTTAAGACTTCACTGAGCCCTGTGTAAATTCTAGGAAATGTTATCTCACTGGAAAGCAGACAAGACTCAATTCACTCTGTAACTGGAGGTTTCTTTCCCACCCACCCGTTCCTGAATAACCACTCTGAGGCTTAAGTATTATTACAAACTATTCTGCCTATTAGCTCAGGCTTATTATTAACTAGCTCTTTCAACTTAACTTAACCCATTTATATTAATCTATGTATTTCCACGTGGTTCATAGCTGTTACCAGTCTGTAGACATGTTGTCCCTTGGGCAGTTGGATGGTGCATCCCTTGACTCTGCCTTCTTTTTCCCTGTATCTCTGCCTGGGTTTCCCATCTAGCTATATTCTGCTTTGCCATACGCCAAAACAGCCTTATTCATCAACCAAAAAATACATCACACAGAAGGGCATCCCACGTCACCACTCATTAATAGCTTTGTTGTCTGATTGAATGTGCCCTTCCAGGAAGGACCACCCAGAGCCTTCCAACCTGCCAGAAAATCCTCCCAGGGCCTTCTAGAAGACTGTTTGCAGACCCAGTTTCCATGGGCTGCAGGTGGAAAATGCCCAGGCAAGAAAATGAACAGACTCATGAAAATTTGGGCAGTAAAAAGTTTTCCATTTTTGGCAGATTTCCCAAGCAAGTGTACCCTTCCTGCTAGGCTGTCGCTTTCAGCTCCAAAGCCCTAGCCACTTCCTAGTCCCCGGTCTTCTCACCCCTTTCTTGACCTCCCAGTCTCCTTACAATTTCTCAAGAACCAGCTAGCTTGGTGGGGTCCCTTAAGGGCGGTTACAAGCCAGCAGCACCAGCTGTGCCTGGTAACCACTTAGGGAGGCCGATGCTTGACTCTCATCTCAGAGG